GCAGGTGAGGGGCTGCTGCGCAACCTGGGGGCGGCGGCGGCAGCCCCCTTCGGCGTGGGGCTGCTGACCCACATGCTGCGCTGCGGGGCCCCCCCGGCCCGTCTGGCCTGCGCCACCGCCCTGCCCCTGCTCACCAGGTACCGACCCTATAGATAACCCTATAGAGCCCCTATAAGATGCCCCATCGAACCCCTATAGAGCCCCCCTAGGTTCCCTGCTATGGTGTCGCCGTAGACACCCCCCCATATCCCACCTCGGGGGGTCCCTCACGCGTTCCCCTGTGGCTGAGCCCATCTGTCCCCTATAGAGCTCTATATGTCCCCCATACAGGCTCTACGGTGTCCCTATAGCCCCCCCAGAACCAGCCCCATAACTCACCCTCTTGCGTTCCCCTCCACCCGGGGCCCACACGTCTCCTATAGACACGTACGTGTGCCCTATACGTACCCCTATAGTTCCCCTGTAGATCTCCTATATGTTCTCTCTTGTCATCGGCGTGTCGTTGGCATGTCCCCTGGGCTGGAGGGGGTGTCCCTAGACCCCCCCACATATCCCCCACACCTTGGCGTGACCCATGATGCTGGTGTGACCCACAGAATTGGTGCGACCCATGACGGTGGTGGTGCCATGTGGCTGTGACCCACAGCGTTGGCGTGACCCATGGCGTTGACATCACGTTGGCGTGACCCATGGCGTGGGCGGGCGTCATGTTGGCATCGCGTTGCTGTGACCCACGGGTGTTGGCGTGGCCCATGATGTTGGCATCATGTCGGCATCACCTACGGCCTTGGCATCACGTTTGCCATGACCCATGACGTTGGCATCGCATTGGTGCGACCCACAGCGTTGATGTCACCTTGGCGTGACCCACGTCATCGGCACGACCCGCGTTGCTGGCATCACCCGTGTCCTTGGTGTAACCCAAGTCGTTGTTGTCACGTTGGTGTGACCCTTGGCACTGGTGTGGCGTTGGTGGGACCCTCAGTGTCCCTTTGCCCTGACAACTGGCGTGACATGTGTCCTTGGCGTGTGCAGGCCCACCTCACCGGCGCGGGGGCTGCTGTGGGGAGGGGGAGCGGTGGCCCTGCTGCTCTCGGCGGTGGCCCAGGGTCCCGCATCCCCCTACGAGCCACCCCCGGCCTTCGCCCTCTACGCTGCTGATGCCATCTCCCTCCTCCGGGGACACGCCGGGGACACACCGGGGGACACGGGACATGGCAAGGACACGCCTGGACAAGCCGATGCCGAGGACCTGCAGGTACGGCCCCGTGGGGTGACGGGGACGTTTGGATGGGGACATGGGGGACGTGTGGAGGGGGACACGGAGGCCGCTGGGGAGTCTTGGGGACGTGGAGAATCCTTGAGGACCTGTGGGGACGTGGAGAATCCTTGAGGACCTGTGGGGACACTGAGGACCTGCCTGGGGACGCTGGGATCGTTGGGAACATCAGGGATCCTTTGGGGACACCCAGATGGGGTCCCGCCGGGGGGGATACCCCCCAGACTCACAGGTGCTCTTGGGGACCCGCAGGTGCACGGAGATGAGGACACCAAGGACCTGTGGGGACACGGAGACACCGAGGACCTGTGGGGACAGGTGGACAGAGATGGGGACAGCGGTGACGCCCTTGAGGAGAATGGTGACCTGCAGAGACCTCTGGACCAACACAAGGACCTCGAGGACCCCTGGGGACACGCGGATACCTTTAGGGACGCTGAGGACACCTGGAGACACGTGGATGGTGACACGACCTCTCCGGTGGATGGGCACGGTGACATTGGGGACACACCAGGGTGCACCAATGGACATGGGGACCCATGGGGACACGCGAATGGACTTGGGGACGCTGATGACTCGTGGGGATCCACAGGGTCCCCGTATCCCCTGTCCCCTGTGACCCTCTACCCCCCACCCCTGCTGTCCCCTGTGTCCCCTTGTCCCCAGGTATCTCCAGACTCATTTTCCCCTGGGTCCCCCTGTCCCCAAGTGTCCCCAAGGGCTGCTAAACGTTCCCGAGCGTCCTCTTGTCCCCAGCTGTCCCCAGATCTTCCTGACCTCCATTCCCAAGTGGCCCCAAGACCCCCCAAACGTCCCCTGTTGTCATCTTCTCCTCCCCTGTCCTCAGACCTCCCCAACTCATGTCCCCAGGTGTCTCTGAGGTTCTCCAACCCATGTCCCCAACTGTCCCCATCTCCCCAGGGGTCCCCGAGCCCTCTCGGCCCCTGTCCCCAACCGTCCCCGGTGTCCTCCAGCCCCTGTCCCCAGCCATCTCCCTGTCCCCAAGCCTCCCCGACCTCCTCCAGCCCATCTCCACCACCATCTCCAGCCCCACAGGCATCTCCAGCCACCCCAGCCGTGCACCCCCCTGTGTCCCCAACATGTCCCTATGCCCAGACCCCCCACGACCTCCTCCTCCTCCCCAATGGTGGCCACCCCGGGGTGCCGGTGGCCCGGGCGGCCTTAATCCAGGGGTCCCCTGTCTTGGGAGCCATGTTGGGGGGAGCCTTCGCTGAGGCACACCAGGCAGCGGTGACCTTGGGCTGTGCCCCCCGCCACCCTCTCCTCCTCCTCCTCCATTTCATCCATGGCTGCCGGGGTGGCTCCGGGGACGGGTGTCCCCTCCTGTCCCCCCCTGTGTCCCCGGCCACCGCTGGCGCCGCCGTTGCTTTGGCCCGCCGGTACCTGGTGGAGGGGTTCGAGGGCGTCATGGCCACCGCCGTCACCGCCTCCCCCGCTGCCCTCTGGGCCTTGGCCGAGCGGTGGGCTTCCACCCCGTTGGCCAACCGGGCCGCCCAGGCCATTCTGGGGGGGCCACCCCACAACGTGGCCCCCCGCTTGGTACGGGTGGCCCGCTTGGCCCGATGTCCCCCTCGCCTGGCCCGGGCCTTGATGGCTGCCGTGGCGCCCCAGGGGGCCCGGCCCCACCTTGATATGGGGGAACCCTGGGGTGGGGGCGACCCTCTGCTGCGACCCCCCGGAGACACTAATGGGGACCTCAGGGATGTCCAGGAGGACCTCAGGGACCTGGAGGGTGACTTTGGGGTCCCTTACGAGGACCTCAGAGACACCCAGGGAGACCTGGACAATGTGGCAGACCCCTTTAGGGACCCCTCTGTGGACAGTGGGGATCCCTTGGGTGAAGATGATGTGGACGTGGAGGTCAAGGGGCCTCTCTAAGACCTTGGGGAACCCCAGCAGGACCTTGGGGACCTCTTTGGGGATCTTGGGGAACACTGCGTGGGTGTTGGGGACCGCTTAGATGAAATCTGAGGAGCACATGGAGGTCAGGGACCTCTCTAGGACCTTGGGGACCCTCAGCAGGACCTTGGGGACCACTGCATGGGTGTTGGGGACCCTTCGGATAAAGACAAGGAGGACATGGAGGGTCAGGGACCTCTCTAAGACCTTGGGGACACCCTCGGGGACCCCTCTGGATGTTGGGGACCCCTCAGCTGAAGATGATGTGGACATGGAGGTCAGAGACTTCTCTAGGACCTTGGGGGCCCTCTTATGAGTCTTGGGGACTCCTTAGATGAAAATCAGGAGGACATGGAGGTCAGGGGACCTTTCTAAGACCTTGGGGACACCCTGGAGAACACTTTTGTGGCTGTTGGGACCCCTTAGGCAGAGATCAGGGGGACAAAGAGGTCAGGAGAGCTCTCTTGAGATCTTGGGGACACCTTTAGGGATGGCCACGGGGACCTTAGGGAGGACTTTGTGGACTTTAAGGACGTTGTGGACCTTCTTGGGGACCCCTCTATGGGTGTGGGGACCCTTTGGATGAGGACAAAAAGGACCTGGAGGTCAAGGGACCTCTGTAAGACTGTGAGAGCACCCATTAATTTTGGGGACGCGCTGAAGGACCATCTAAGGGAAACCCCTTGGGTGAAGATGAGGAGGACACAGAGATCGAGGGACCCCTGTGGGGACATTTGGGACCCCCTCGAGGGGTCTTCCTCTAGATGTTAAGGCCTTTTTTGATGATGAAGGTGAGGCTGGGGATGTTGGGGAGCCCCATGAGGATCTTGGGGGTGTCTCCTCTACGTGTTTAGGACCTATTTGATGATGAAGATAAGGCTGGGGCCATAGGGAGCCCCCCTCCAAGGATTTGGGGGGCCCCTGTGAGGATCTTGGGGACCTCATCTCTTTTTTTTTTTTTTTTGATGATGATGAAGATGAAGGTAGGGAGGTGGGACGCCCCAGCCCACAGGGACCTTGCAGAAGCCCAAGGTGGTGGCATTTGGGGTGGTGGCACAAGGGGAGGAGGAGGAGGCCCAGATTTAGGGGAGGACATCACAGTTTGGGAGGGCGCACCCCCCACGCCCCACACCCCTCCAGGTTAGGGGGGGCTGCTCTGGGAGGGGTTGCCTGCTTTTTGGGTTGATTTCAGGGGGTTTTGGGGCCGTGACTGTAACGAAGGCAGCACGCAATAAAGGAGGTGAAACGGCACCAGCGTGATGAGGAACCCAGCCCTTCGGGGCCCCCCCATATCCCGGGGACCCCCCCCTCCACGTCCCAGGGTCCCCCAGCCTTTGGGACACCCCCCACCCAATATCCCAGGGACCCAGGTGTTTAGACCCCCCCCCCCTCCTCGTGTCCCAGGGACCCCCATATCCCCGGGACCCAGGCGTTTGGAGCCCCCCCATATCCCAGGGACCCCGAGCATCCGCCCCCACCCCACCCCCCCCATATCCCAGGGACCCCGAGCATCCGGTGTCC